CCACAGTCAAGTGTGGTGGATTGTTATCTTATGGTCTCGTTTCCTGCTCTGGGTTGCAACACTCCCAATGACCTTTTAGCAAACCCCATTTTATAGTCTTTCCTAAATATATTGTGGAATTGATGGTTCACTTGACAATACACATTGGCAATCACCTGGGTGACTGAGCGTGGAATAGAAATGGCTTTGTTACACGAATGGCGGTGTCGACATATTCTCATAACGTGTTGCTGATTGAACTTTCTTCCTGTAGAAGAACTGAATCTCTAAAAGCAATGAGATGGAGCTCCTTAACCTGGCGCCATGGTTAGCCGAGGCAAAGCTTTCTCCTGACGTCTGTGGTAAGGCATTTTCTCTGACTGTGGACCCCGAGGCTTGTATCACTTGGGCCCAGCCGTGGAAAAGGTGGTTTATCACTCTTCCCCGCTTCCATTTTCCCTTCTCTTGTTCTGTGCATGGAGTTGCCTTCTGCTTTAGTTGGAGTTTGTCTCAGATTTGTGACTAGCATATGTACCTGGTGCTGCCTAAGTATGCATTCCCTGAATACAGGATTCTGCAAAGAACTCCATTATTACCTGGGTATGGTCATTGTAAGGACTGCTTTCCCCCTTCTCCAGCTCACTTCCATCCTTACCTGGTTCACTCATATAATGTCTCTATAGCAACACTTTAAAAATGTGTTTATTATGTTTCAGCACAAAAAAAATGTCATCAAAAATAATAAAAGAAAAAAATATACACTTAAACCAGGCAAACATAACATAATCCAATCTATATAAATAAAAATGTAATGTTCGTTCGTGGGATTAACATATCTCAAAAACCACTGGACAATTTGACACCAAACTTGGACACAATACACCTATTAGGCCAATGAGTATCCATCACTCCCAAAAACACACAAAAAACCCAGCAGAACGGACTTAAACCCCCCCAAAATAAACTATATATACATATACACATACACACATGCACACATTCGTATATATATATATGCACAAACACACACATATGCATATAGACAAGCACACACATATACACAATATGCATGTACACATATAAACACACAAATACACAAATATATACACACATATATACACCCATATATATATATATACACACACACACAAACACATATATACACAAATACACACACAAATACACAGATTGGGCCATAGCAACGCGTGGTAGGGGACAGCTAGTTAAATAATAAAAATAAAGACTTCCTAATGTCAGATCCCCGTTATTAACTATGAGTCGTTTGTAAGTCAAAAGAAAGCAGGTAAAAAGGGCAATTCCAGAAGGATCAGTAGAACAGAAAATACAAAATAGCAGTAATCCAAAAATGACAAAGATCATAAAGTCAAGAGAACCAAAATCCACAGCAGTATTTCAAACATAAACCCGTAAACGAGGGCGACTAAAATGATCAAGGGTCTGGAGAACAAGCCCTATGAGGAGCGGCTTAAGGAGCTGGGCATGTTTAGCCTGAAGAAGAGAAGGCTGAGAGAGATATGATAGCCATGTATAAATATGTGAGAGGAAGCCACAGGGAGGAGGGAGCAAGCTTGTTTTCTGCTTCCCTGGAGACTAGGACGAGGAACAATGGCTTCAAACTACAAGAGAGGAGATTCCATCTGAACAGGAGGAAGAACTTCCTGACTGGGAGA